ATTGAAGAAGATACCCAGAAGAAAAGAAGAATGGCCCACTTGAGAAAATTAAATTAAAACTTCTTGTGATTCTATATTATCTTTTTCTTTAACAATGAAGATCCACTTAAACACTTGACAATCAAATGAAAGTGAGAGGGAGAGAGAGATAGTTACCTGTCGGGTGAATCTGGGATTGTCGAAGACGGGTCTCCAGGAAAAGATAGTGACAGGGATTGAGTAATCGGAGATGGAGTCGTCAGTGAATCCGGCGAGAAGAAAGTGGACGAGGAGAGAGAGAGCAGACAAGACGAGACCAAGCAGACCGATCCATTTCATACGCGTCTTCAAGAACACTTTACCTTCCCCCTTCATCTCTCACTCACTCCACTGACCTAGTTCTTCTACTACTAAAAATGGAGAAGAAACAGAGACTAGAGTCTGAAGAAAAGTCGAATCGGACTTAGAAGAGACACGTGTGAGAACATGTCTGGAGATGTAGATCGGTGTTGATCGGACAATGGGGTTGTATGGACTTTGGTCTGTCTGAAAAAAATCTGCGTACATTGAATTTAATTTACTCATTTTTTTTCCTTGTTTTCTTACCCACGCGCTTATTTCGCGCGTGAGTTTCAATTATTACAGCAGGACAATTTTTCTTATTGTATTATTTTGATTAGGAACAAAAGTTTTAATTTTCCGAACGGAAACGGATTACTATTTCTTTCCCGAATTGAAAAGTCTTGGTTCAGTATGATCTCTCATTTATTTTAGTAAAAGTAAGAGTTAAGTAGGTTTACTAAAAAACGGTCAAGAAATAATTCAAAAAGTAGTCATGAGTAGAAACTATGGGTGGGTGATTATCATCTCTCGTCGTCTTATCAACAGATCTCGGTGCGGCAACTGAATGTTGATGGTGACGGAAGAGCACAACGCGGTGGTTTGGGACATCTCGTGGAAACTCGGCCTATGATCTTGTTCTTATCTGAAAGAGGAGATGATCTTTGATACTTTTTTTTTGGGAAAAATGTAGGCTCTGAAATATTTCCTTTTTTATGAATTTCCCCTGATGACAAATGAAAGGCAGCGTACTACACATTTTTTCAAGTATTTAACATCTCTTAAAACAGTAAAAACAGTGTTCATAACAATTTATTTTCCGGTGAATTTACTATAAAAAAACATTTAGTTGAAGTTTATTTGCAAAATTAAACCGATTTTTTGATAAATTGTGTTAAGTAGTTGGTGTCCAATAAACATACTTTAAAAATTCTGTGAAATTTATGCTATTTAAAAAAAAATACGCACAGTATCACACCTTATTAATTTATTATTTTGTCGCCATTTCATTTTTTAGATAAACGTCAGATTATTATGAATGCATTATAGTTCTTCCTTTTAAAAAAAATCTGAGAATATAAATGAATAGCTCATTTTATTTCAACTTGACTTAGTGACCAAGGTGGCTTTTAGAGCTGATCGATTTACAAAAGTAAAAGGGAAGATCTAACTGGCTTATTCGATTTTAGTGTCGCAGCTACATCCTTTTATTTTCTGTTAAACTTTTTCAGTAGATGCACATTTGGTCAGGAAACGATATATGAAATGATGGTTAGAGAATATATATTACATCACGTTCTAAAATGGATAGAAACAAAATGAAAAGAATATGACATTTGAATAATGAAAAATGGATATTTGTTTGTGGTCATAACCACAAAAGATGCATATATACTTTATGTCATAAACAATTTATCATAAAAACCAGCCCCTGAGATTAACTAAAAGATGCATATACTTTATGTCCAGTTAGTTCTTAATTATTATATTAGAATAATTGTAAATCCACATGTTTGAAAAATGTAATAAAAATAAATATATGTGATTAGAGTAAAAAGATAACTTAAATTTTAGGGTTTGATCGATAAATTGACAACGGTTGAAGATTGAATTATTTCTTAAATTAACAATCGAATAAATGAAATAAACAGTTTATATAAAAAAAAATAATTAAACGCAATTAAATGCTGAAATGATGGTTATAGAATACAAACACAGATTATATATATAGTTCATAGTTTTCTGTTTCAAACTTGTCTTTCTATTAGTACAATTTTTTATTGTTTTTTAAAAAAACTTCTTAAAAAAGTTTAGATAGTTTTTATTTTTAATTTATAATCTATCATTAGCACTCATAATTATTTGTTAAACATCTGTTTTAACTCTAACCATTTTTTTATTATTATTATTTTTTACTGTCTCTAACCATTTTCTACTCGTTTTCATTTAACCGCCAAATTCATAACTGTCCTTATTCAAACGATGATTAGTCAATCGAATTCTTAAAGTGGTAACAAATGTGACAATCGATACAAATCTGAAATTATATTTAATGCTATACTAAGAAAATGATCTAATTTATACGTATATAGTTTTTGTTTGTGTGTGTGTGTGCAAAACGTATCAGTTCATGGATTATTGGCGTTAATTAGCGTCATAATTTTTATACCAATAAATGAATCAACTACTATATTGATAAAATTTAAGATTTGATATTAGGAAATGCATATATATATACAAGCATTATTGGCCTAGTGGACAAAAGTATTATATATTTTACCACCGAAATTTGGATTCAACTAAAAAAAAAAAATTGGGTTCAAGTTTCAACCAAAACTTTCTGCATTTTGAGAACGCAATAGTTTTAGTGTAGTGTGCTCCAACTCCAATTTAAGTCATCCGTCATTATTTTCATGTGTTACGATGCTGACACTTGATACCGTCAAGCAAAACGCAGAAACAGCAATGAACCAATGAGCAAAATAACAAAAAATCTGAAAGTTATTTAATAAAATAATAAAGTAAAATATAATTTGATACGTTACTTCTATCAAAGATATTTTTTTATAAATAAAATGATTGTTCTGGTGAGTATTTAACATATGTCAGTATTTAACACGCTAAATAATTCGAATACTACAAATCTTAAGACGTAAAGAAACCGAATTGAAGTAAACAAATGAAAGATACTTAGAGCCAAGCAAAGCATCACATTTTGAGACAGGATTTGACGCATTGTTCTTACCTCCATTAACATTTTGAAAACTCTTTTCAAATCTTTATTTATATTAATAAGTATATAAATTATTTCACGAATTAACAAAGTATATATGCTTCTTATTGTGTCTGATCAGATCTCTACTTTTTATTGAGAATCTTGTAACAGCTGTGATTCTTTTTCATTTTATGCCAAACACGCCAACTTCAATAGTCGGAAATAAGTCCTTAATTTAGTTGACTGGCACTGTGGTACATGTCCGAACAACTTATTATCGGCTCAGAGGATAGACGAATTAAAACCACCAATTATTACATGGGTTTTCCATGTTATTAAATTTCTATTTTAAGATAACATTTATATTTTTAGGGTCACCAATTTTTTATTATTAAAAACGATATATTCATATATTTTCAAGTTCACATTATTTAAATTTTTGAGCATTGAAAATGAAAATGATCACAATTTATTTAGATCGGTCCTTTATTTTTTGAACCTTTAGATAGGTCTTGTTGTCGTATGAAATTATATTGATCTGAATCAAAATCTAATTTATTTATTATGGATGAATTTGTGTAGGTTTAAATTAGTCGGACTAATGCTTATAGTTTGACTTTAATAAACATATTTAAAAAAAAAATATTCCTTACGAGTATTGGAATATGAATAAGTTTAAATGATTTTCCAAGATCTAAATCAGAATAATAAAACTAAAGTTTCTACCATCACTGTTTTTTTTTTTTTGGTCGGGACTACCATCACTGTTTGTTTGTATTATTATTGTCGCTGTGTTATTATTTGAATTTAAATTTGGTTAATGCATGTTATTAGCCAAAAACAATATCAAAACAATGTAAATAACATACTTATTCTTTTGAACAAAAAAAAAAAATACTTATTCCAAACCACGGCTTTCAGCCATGGGATCTAAAGAAAGTGAAACTAAAATCAATCAAATAAAAAACGTGCGTGGTGGTCGTACAGACTACAGATGCTTTTTTTTTTGTTAAAGGACTACAGATGCTTTGTATTGTCTGATTAGATCTCTGTTTTTATCAGGATTCTTCGTTTTTTTTTAAATAAGTTTTTTAAATAGGATTTTTGTAACAACTATTATATTGTTCAAACACTACACAAAAAAATAAACAACTACTGTATATTGTTCTGTTTTCATTATATGGTAAAACACGCCACTCTAAAGTATTGCTTCCATTTTGTTGACGAGTATCCAACGTGGATCCGGACTGTAAAAAGATCAAAATTAATTTTAAAAATTAAATAATATACTGACTTATCAATAATCAACAAGTTCATGTAGTTCTAAATATTATTAATGACTGTAAATATGCATATTTTATTTATCGCATTAATTTCTGTCATTTAACTTTTTTATTACAAATCTATATATAGTTTTCACTCATTTTTCTCAGCACTACCATATATATTACTCCACACTGAAGTTGCGTAGTAAGTTTGTATTACTCCACACTAAAGTTGCGTACTTAGTTTGTATTTGATTGTTAACATTAATATATAAATGTTTTAAGCAGTCAGAGACTGGGAAAAGTTATAAAAAAAATGGAGAAAGGTAAAAAAAAATAGCAGTAAAAAAACTTTGAGCAAGAAATACCTTCCAAACCGTTTTGGTATTGTTTTACATATAGGTTTTATTTCAGTTTACCGATTGGTAACGGGTTGTCGATAAGGCGATAAGGCCATTATTACAACCTATATGTTCTTAACCAAGTTGTTTCTATTACTTAGAGTGAAGTAAACGTCAAACTGTGTCTGATGTCACGTTGTGATGATGGAAGTTACGAGAGTTTCCATTAATTGATCAACTCTCTCTCTCTCTCCTGGTCATAAGTAGTTGAAAGAACAATGACTAAAAAGCTAAGTTCAAAGCACACTGAGTTTGGTTAAAGCCAAATGGGATAATGATACGATTCTAAGCATTACTCGAGTCACACAATATATATAGTCACACCTTCATCAAATCTTTATTTCATACCAGCTTCTGAAAACCACATAAAGACAAGTGTCTACATATATCTAAATATTTCCGCACGCATATATATATATCGATATAACTAGTAATTATGGTGAAGTTTGATGCGAAGCTGTGGAAAGCTGTGCTTATGATGTCGATTATCAACATTGGGCTAAGCGTTGTAAACGTTATGTTCAAGAAGATGCTTAATCAAGGAATTAACCGTATGGTCGCCACCACTTACCGACTAGCCGCAGGAACTCTGTTCTTGACACCATTTGCAATTTTTTTGGAAAGGTATGTGTTTCCATATCGTATATATAATATATACCTACTCTCGCATCTTTCAATACAGCGACCTTATATGTCTTCTTCGTCGTAAAAGTTCAATTATATACATCCAGTCTTTTCTTGGTTTTGTTGATCATTTATGATATTTAAAGTTTTTTTTTTTGTTTTTTATATCTGATCTTTGAAGTTCTTTTGGTTTAAATATACTCCACTATTTAAATTATAAGTGGATGTCTTCTTTATTCGAGTGTCTTGTTGAATGTTGGTTTCCGTCTCTTTTGTATAAGTCAACAATTATTAATTACAAATCTTTTTGAGGAGAAAGGTAATTTCACATTCGTATTCCATTTAAAAGAAAATTAATTTGGTTTTCTTTTTGTAGACATAACAGGCCAAAACTGACGGGCGGTATCTTGTGTTCACTTTTCTTTAGCGCTCTTCTAGGGTAAGTTTATTTTGATAGAGTTTCAACAGTAAGAGATTTTAGGAACTGTCTTAACTTTTGTTCACTTACAAATTCGCAGGACAAGTCTGGTGCAATACTTTTTCCTTATTGGACTACAATATACGTCTTCCACTTTCGCGCTAGCGTTTAGCAACATGGTTCCTTCGGTCACTTTTGCGTTGGCTCTCGTCTTTAGGTAATGAAAGTCGATCAATTTACACTATTAAACCCCTTCTTTCCTCTAGCTACCACAACTATTTTTATTAACTATACAATATAATTCAATAATGAATAATTAGGCAAGAGACGTTGAACATCAAGAGCAACATAGGAAGAGCCAAAGTGTTAGGCACAATGATATGCATTACTGGAGCCTTGGTGCTCACGCTTTATAAAGGACCAGCTTTAACACGACAAAATACTCAAATGCAAACACAAACCACAAAGGATTCAACCGCTGCTACAACCCAAAAGTGGGCAATGGGTTCGATCATGCTGATCATATCAATCTTAATATGGTCAGCATGGTTCATCGTCCAAGCTAAAATAAGCCGGATTTATCCATGCCAATACACGAGCACCACGATCCTCTCTTTTTTTGGTGTGATCCAATCTGCTTTGTTGAGTTTGATCTCGGAGAGGAGCATATCCATGTGGGTCGTTAAAGAGAGGTTCCAAGTTTTAGCTTTACTTTATTCCGTAAGTGATCGAATTTACTATTAACTTTGCCTACCAAATGTTTTTACAAGTTGTAAACGAAACAAAAAAAAAATCGTTTACATTAGGGTTTAGTTTTACAATATACAAAAAAATTAACGCTAGTAATTTATGATTTCTTGAAAATATTCTAATGTGAATATATGCTATATATGTACCAACTATGATCGGTACTTGTATAGGGTATCGTGGGGTCGGGTTTGTGCTACGTTGGAATGTCGTGGTGTCTCCGGCAAAGAGGTCCGGTTTTCACTTCTAGCTTCATCCCTTTGATTCAAGTCTTTGCTGCCATTTTCAGCTTCTCTTTCCTTCATGAGCAAATTTACTGCGGAAGGTAACCTACTATTTTCTTTCTACATTCTTATATATATATATATATCTATAATAATTTTGTTAATATGCTTTACATAATCTAATAATTTCAACGTACATACGTACAAGCAGAGGATTTAAAATTGGATCAAACGAATCACGACTCATACTTAATTATTCACTGACTTGTATAGAATATATGCCTATGTATTAAATTAAATACCATGAAGACTTTAGTCTCTGTGAGATAAATACCTTTGATCGATGTGGAGATTGAATTGAAACGGATTATGTATTAAACTAAATGTTTACACAAGGGACAACTAAGTTATATGGGTTTCGTTGGCCTAACGGTAGATATTAAATTATTAAGTGGCTCTTTTTGGCTTTTGTTACTAAAAAATGTCTGACAAATGAAATGTATACGTGGCATGACAAAAAGTGCGATAGGATCAATGGTCATCATCGTGGGACTTTATATACTTTTATGGGGCAAAAGCAAGGATAAGCCTGCACCCGTAACCAAACAAGAACCATTAAATCTCGATCTTGAAGGTTGTGGGACAGCTCCAAAGGAACTCAATAGTGCCGCCCATCCAATCTCTGGAAAATAATAACTTCAAGATATATATTAAAGGCTTATATATTAAATTGTTTTGCATATATGGTCAGTGAACTATATATAAGTCGAACTAAGTAGATGTCTAAAAGAAAGTCATATTAAAGCAGATGTAACAGTAAAACTGTTATACAGAAATAAAAATGTGAAGTTCATATGTCGAGTTCCTGAACCGAAAATCTTAATCTACTTCTTTTTTGCCAATGAAAAACGTTACATTAGTTGATAAAAACAAAAAAAAAGTTCATTATAATTTTCTACAGTTTAATGTCATATTTAAGAATTGAAAACTTCTATCAAATGCCCGTCTAGCTCAGTTGGTAGAGCGCAAGGCTCTTAACCTTGTGGTCGTGGGTTCGAGCCCCACGGTGGGCGTTTATTCTTTTTTGCGTTTCTGTTATTTTTGATTTTGTCTTTCAGGTATCCTCTACCTATTAATTGAGAATGTAGTTTAATGAAAAATACTGTTTTGTTTTAATTTGATTGGTTAAAATCTTTTCTCTATCCTAATTAAATGATGATGTGTAATGATGATGTAATTGTGACATGACATTTACTAACACATGTGGTTTATGACATGGCAAAAAGATTTTTTGTGATATTTTCATTTATAAAAAAATTAATTAGATAATAAAATTTAGTGTACTAATAACTAAATGAATGATTCGCCAGAGGCATTATGAATAATCTGATATTATTATTCATTTATATGGGTAATAGCATATGAATTTTGGGTTGAATGTGACAATTTTAATACACACATATATATATTATAATACTATGGATAATACTGTATTATATATATTAAATTTACTATAGCTCTGTCGTGGATCACTGTAACTTTCCATATAGATACACATATATATATATTATAATACTATATTTATATGGAATATATGCACATATATTTTCATATATTTCAGTAGGCAAAATTATAATAACAAAATCATATTGATCAAATCGTTTACTTAATAATTCATACTTTTTGTAAAGGCGGTGCTCCATTTACGTGCACATATGTTTTCACATACTTTAGTTGACAAAATTATAATAATAAAATAAGATATTATTGTGATCTTCTGTAGAACATTTAAAATTTTAAAATATTAGTTTAGTTTAAAAATAGTAACAAATATAAATATAAGATTTCGATTTAATAATCCTCTACATTATTTTTCGTAGCAAAAGTTGAATATCCTAAAAAATCAACGTGCAAAAACCAAAATCATTATCCTCTACATTATTTGAAAAATTTAATGTCCATTTAATAAAAACCAAAAAGATCCATATAAAATCACGTTCATCTCAAATAACTAATGAAAAAGTTAAATACTTGGATCCTTATATAAGAAAACATCACAACACAATGAGTATCAAACAATCAAACCCTAACTCAAAGCGCGGGCATGTCAATTCTACCAATCCGTTTATCTAAATCGAATATGGCTAAAATAAAACTTGAAGGTTGTATAGACTCCAATCGTGAGTGTAATGAAGCAAGATTTTATCGCTATACTGAATTTCCAAACAAATGGGTTTGGCATCAAAAAATTAAGAAGTGGCTCCCTCGCAACAGAAAAAACAATGTTCCCTACGATATTAGCCTTCCAGAAGTTTCAGAAGAATATGGTGAACTTTTCTACCTTAAAATGTTGCTAAATGTTCAGAGAAAACCAGTATGTTTCAAAAAATAATAGAACAGTAAACAGAGTTTTATATTCAACCTTCGCTGAAACATGTTTTGCAATAGGGTTAATTGAAGCATTTGATGCTTAAGTGGAGATGGTCTTGCAATTATTTGTAGAGTCTACTTGATAAAATTATAAGTAGAAAAATCGTACATATAAGTAGATTGAGACCAACAATGACGGAATCCTTGAAGAAATAATGCTTTAAATTGAGGAAGATTATAAGAAGACAAAGAAAATGAAAAACGTTTGTTCAACAAAAAAGACAGAGAAAATAAAATTTGCAGCTTGATCCGCAAATCCGAAGAAGGTAACCAGCTATCCACGGGTTTGATCCATTTGACCCTCTAACATAACTGGTCAAATTTTACAAAGCCTGATCATGGAAAAATAAGTTTTGTGTTTTCCAAATTTAATTATTATTTTTCAAGTCTGTCTCAAAATATAAATGAACCTTTTGTTATAACAAAATGTTTAGTTAAAATTAGATTATATTTTACTACTTAATTTAAAGTCTTATAATTCAAAACACTGACCTTGAATTTCATATACTACAAAAATTAAAATATTTAAAACAGATTTAAATATTGTATTTAAATAATTACATTTTAAAAATTGTTCATGCCCGCACATGCGTGACAAAAAAAACATTTCTAATTCTAAAGAGAAAAAAACAGAAATAGAGACAAAGGCAGTTAAGAACTTAGGATCTTCCATTTCTTTATCATTCAAGTCAATGGCACAATGCAAAAAAGTAGAACGAAAAAATCTACGGATATATAAAGAGAAAATTTGATGATATTATGATTTCTTCCCCTATATACCATAAAAATAGGATTAATTTGATTATATTATGATTAATTGATGTATTTTAAAAGTTATCTGTTTTCAAATATAAAAAAAAAGAATTAGTGTATTTTTCGATATTTTTACAAATTTGTAGGTATTTATCAAAATTTTCCAAAAAAACAAGTAACAATATGAGTGCTCTCCCTATTACTCTCCATTACACAACACAAGATGTATGTCCCTATAATTTGCAACAAAACTGGGACGAAACATAACTAATTACCTATCTATCAAAATAGATCATCAGACTTTTTATCCATAACTCAAAATTCTTGTTCGACTGAACCTCGTTCATCTAAATCTTGCCAGGAACTCGATTATTGATCGGAGGCTTGCGTCGAGGCTTACTGTGTATTGGATAATCACTGTGTATTGGATAATCAGAGTGTAACAATCGAGCAAGTTTCTTCATATCCTTTGCTGAAAAAAATTGTTCAAGTTTTGGTAGGCAATTATCATTGCTGAGATCATCGATATGCTGAAAATACAAATTATTTAAGACAACTTTAATAGTATAGGAATAAGACTAAATCTATGATAGTCCTGAAGAAGGTTTACAAGACAAACCTTAGTGGTGTCAAGATCTGCCAATATATTGGTCTTCTTATGCTCTCCTGCAGTAGAGTGAAAACATATCTAGAATGAAGACATGTTCACTACTTTTACTAATCATTTGAGAATAAAGCTATTTGTTTTATATATATAAAGGAGCCAGAAAGTGTTCGTTGTACAAACAACTTAAAATGATAACCAAAGCTTAGACATATATAAAACTAATATTGACCCAAAAAAAGAGAAGCATCAAAATTAATTAAAGAAAATATACACTACAAATATTACAAACTATATGTTTATGTTCTTGTGATTATAAGTTATGCCTAGGAGGATGACGTGCTGGTCCACGATAATCATCATAGAAAGCTACAAATCGACCAGAAGATTTTTTCCTCTTGGGTTTCCATTTAAGTGAAGAACTCTTACTTCTTTTATGAAACCCTAATTTACGATCCACCATTAAATGTTTTGATGCACCTGAAATATTTAAACTCCAATTATCTTTTTTTGACGCCGTCACTTGCTCCTTCTCGGCGGTTCTAGCCACCGCGGTTCTGGTTGTTCTCCCGGACCTTAGTTTCCTTGGTGCACCACTGTTGGTGAAGTCGTACAAATCCTGTATAAATTGATACAATGGGTTGATTTCGTTTTAAAAACATACAAATTATTTGCGAAAGATCTATAGAAAACAAATGTATACTTTAGGATGTGTCAATGTATCTTTATCTCGACGATATCCAAGACTCTTGTGACCAGCATCTCCGCCTATCAAAACAAATCGAGAGATATGATGTGAAAGAAAGTTACTAGTAGCTATTTATTTAGCTAATCTTCAGAAGAAGAAAAACAAATCATGCCAGAAAAATGGAAGGTAACAAAAAAAGAAAAACTAGGGATTTCATGTGAAGACACACCTTCATGAGCATAGACTAGGATATGGTCCTCTTCTAGGGCTTGAATAATTAAAAGGAAAGCTAGTATGATTGTGAATCTCATCATCATGATTAAAGAAGCTAGATTCTTTCAAGTTCTCTCTCTTTCTCTCTCTCTTGTCTCTTGTTCTTTTTGAAGAAGAGATGCATACATGTGTGGGAAGTGAAGCTCAATAATAGTTACAATTTTGAATTACTTTTTTGGGTCTCATGGGTAAAGAGTAAAGACCCGAGTCAAAAGGACACGGTTTCTGTCGTCTAGTAATAGCAAAAAGAATATTAGTACTTCTAGGTGCATTTTTATCATCAATGCTTAATCATTTACATATATTGGTCTCTTCAAACTATAAGAGTCCAATTTATGATATGATAAAATGGTCAAAAAATTGTCTTAAAATTTGAAGAACTAAATACATTGACTACTGTGATAGCATAAATGATTAAAAACTCGAGTTATCCACAAATACCATAAATTAGTTTGGATTTTGATTCATAATTTTCTAAGTTATCACATAGATATAAAGAAAAAGATACAAGTCCTCACAATCCAAACATGATGACGCTATTATCATATATGTGTTGTATCACAAAGCTAATAATCCGTCATAATACCAAACTAAATGGCGAGATAAATTTCATTATTATCATCTAATTGTTAGGGTTCATTAAGAAAAAGAAATAAGATATATGATATTTTGCTGGAACATCAGTAAAAGAAAAAGAACAAATTAATGTATATATTACGAATCATACATCTGAAGTTGAGATCATATACAGTATAATATTTTTTGATCAAAAAAAAATACTGTATAATATTTATATATAAGAGATATGAGCTAGTTCAATCACTATCAAAGTATCAATTAGTTCTAAAACCTATAATCTCACAAAACAGAAATGCATATATAATTTTACATATGGTGTTGTAAGACAGAAAAACATATGAAAATTTGCAAATTCTTTGTCTTATACAAGTTATATGTTAAAACAACATATTTTATAAGAATATGTTAATGTGAATTAACGAAGGAGTATTTTAAGACGTAACTTGACTTTTTATAAATATAAATAACGAGATACAAATGCAGGAGGCACGAGGAAGTGCATCAAATGAAGTGCAGGCTGGGAACACGTAAATGTGGCTTTACATGGATTTACTAAAAAAATATTACGGAGACTTTACCATAGCCAAAAAACATTTCACTGGTAATATGTGAGATGATAAATCAAAGAGTTTTACATATCAGATTGGATCAAGATAAATCAACACAACGATAAGGCCATGAGCATTACGCCGAGGTAACACTACTTTCCACAACAAAAACACATTTTAACCATTGAGGGTAGCCTAGAGCTTTTACCATAGAGTTTAACATTGAGAGTAAACTTTACCATATACAGTAGCTCAACCAATCAAAGTTTAATTAACTAAAAAAGCTTTGGATTCTTAATATTATTTTTGGAAACTAGAACTAACGGCGTCTCGCCCGAGGCCCCGAGCTGGTCCCCGGTCTTACATGTTAGTTTCTCTGAGAAAGCCTCGTTTTAATTACTAGTGAGTGATATTTTTCTTTTGACCGACTCATCAGAACCAATCCCTAAAATCTTTGATGACAATCGAGATTTATGACAAATTTGAAATTTGTGAACTTTGTCAGGATTTGATGGTCGTTCGTTTTGCCATAATTTTCCAGACATACTCTATACGACCATTTCAGTCAGGGATTTGTTTTACAGTTTTTCAGCGTATAAAATTTTATTTTACTTATTGTCAACAACATATAACTATGTCGTTCTATCTAATGTGTTGAATTGATAAAATGATTTTTTCTAAAAAAAACATATACATTAGAAAATAAAACGAGATACTACTTATAATAAAATGGAGTTAACATTTATATGTAACCCACAAAAATACTAGAAAATTTTGAAATTGATTCGGTTTTTATATATAATGTTCACCAAATAAGATAAGAGAGTCACAGTAAAATTCTTATTTCACATGAACGAAAAAGAGAAGTTGAAGATGTTAGACGGTATATTGTTTTATATGTGTATTTTTTTTACCAAAAGGTCACGCATCACTTGATATAAATGTATATACAGTAAAATCTCTATAAATTAATAATATTGGAACTTTCAAATTTTATTAATTTATAAATTTATTAATTAATCGATAAATTAACAATTATTAATTTATTGATAAATTAATAAAATATTAATTTATAGAGATATTTTTAGTTTGAATTTTTAATATTCATCAAAAAAACAAAATCAATATTTTCAACAATGTCAAATTCATTCAAAAAATGTCATAATAATGAATTTAGAAGATAATCCAAACAATTTTCATAAACTTGAAACAATAATATTATTATAGTTTACTATATTATATTATTAACATATGTTTAAATGTATAATTATTAATTTATATTATTATTGGGAGTATATTTTTACATAGAACTTTTTTAAAAAGTATTATCTTATTATTTTATCGAATTTTGTCAATTTTTATACTGGCTCGACTTGAAACCGATAAAAATTATTAATTTATAGTGATTATTAATTTATCGAGTATTAATTTATAGAAGTTCTACTGTATTACATTTTTAATCAAACTATATATACGACTAATCCACTAATCCACAAGAAATCAAACTATATATACGACTAATCCACTAATCCACTCTTGTTTTAATAATCGATCCGGCTTATATAGATTTGTAACAGGCCGCAATCTTTTTTAAACCGAACTTCAAAAAACTACAAACGACAATATTGCTAGTTGAGTATCGTAAGTTGTAATACTCATATTCCTTTTTGTATATAAAAGTAGCAATGAGTCGGTATTTGGAAGTATATAAATGATAGTTTAAATGAAAGTATGATACAAAACTCAAATTATTTTGTATATAAGAATATAGTTGTAATTATTTATTTTGTCTTATTGATATCTATTATACGTACCATCATTTATACTTCCTAGGACCAACTCACAACGATTAAGAGTTTTCATGGCAACATTTATGGAATTCTTCTCACCATAGTCGTCGAATGACTACGAAAAATGTGACCAATAAGTATCTTAAATACTTGCATGCATTGGCCAATAAGTATTTTACTATGACTCAACAGCTCATTGATATTTGGAGTTTGATTAATCCAGAATGATTCGACTTTATTTTGGGTTTAGCAAAATACTCCAAAATTACAGAAATTATATACATAAAGTAGAAATATCATGCGTTAAGAAGGCCGTATTAGTTGAGGCCTTAGGTTGGGCCTCATCTGGAACCCACTATGCTCAGGAGCGCATCACTTGTGTTTTACATATTGATGTAAACCTTTTCTTTAATTCTCCCCTTGGGAAAGTTATTCCCACTCCCTCTAGTGCGTGCCATTAATCAAATCTTTAAATCTTTGGACAATAATAACGTTACAAAAAATGACATTATATAATCAAAACCAATTATAAAAGTAAGTATTTATAATTGATCATAATCGTCCTACTTCGTGTGATATTTCAATAATAATTTTTTCCCCCTTTAATCATTCTTGCATCATTGTTGCTTTTGATTTTACATTTTAGTATTATATTTTTGTTGGGACAAACCAAAAGAAAGATAATTAATAATAAAGAAAAAAGAAATCTTCTACCTATTAATTGAGAATGTAGTTTAACGAAAAAATGCTGATTTGTTTTAATTTGATTAGTTAAAATCATTTGTCTACTTTAATTAAATGTGATATGGAAATAATGATGTGTAATGATGATGTAATTGTGACATGTCATTTACTAACACATGTGGTTGATGATATAGCAAAATATTTTATTTTGTGATATTTCCATAAATAAAAAAATAAATTAGATGACAAAATTTAATGTACTAATAACTAAATCTGGAATGATTCGCCATATGCACTATGAATGGTCTGATATTATTATTCATCTATATGGGTAATAGTAGATGAATTATGGACTGAACGTGATGATTTTAATACATATATATATATATTATAATACTATGAATAATACTATATTATATACCTATAAAATTTACTATAGGTCTGTCGTGGACCACTGTGATTTTCCATATTTACATATATATTATAATACTATATTCATATGGAATACATGCACATATGTTTTCATATACTTCACAGTATGCAAATTTATAATAACAAAATCACATTGATCAAATCGTTTACCTAATAATTCATATTTTTTGTAAAGGCAGTGTTCCATTTACGTGCACATATGTTTTCACATAATTCAAGTGGCAAAATTATAATAACAAAATAAGATATTATTATGATCTTATGTAGAACATTCAAAATTTAAAATTAGTTTAGGTTAAAAATAATAACAAATATAAATATAAGATTTCAATTTAATAATCTTCTATTGTTATTTTTCTTAACAAACGTTAGATATCATAAAAAATCAACGTGCATCTAATAAAAAACCAAAATTATAATCCTCTACATTATTTAAAAAGTTTAATGTCCATTTAATAAAAACCAAAAAGATCCATATAAAATCACGTTCATCCCAAATAACTATGTAATAAAAAAAGTTAAATACTTGGGTCCTTATATAATAAAACATCACAATATACATGAATATTAAACAAATCAAACCTTAACCCAAAGTGCGGATATGACAATTCTACCAATATATTTATCTAAATTGAATATGGCTAAAATGAAACTTGAAGGTTGGATAGACTCCAATCATGAGTGTAATGAAGAAAAGTTTTATCGCTACACTAAATTTCCAAACAAATGGATTTGGCATCAAAAAATTAAGAAGTGGCTCCCTCGTCTGCGCAACAGAAAAACAATGTTTCCTACGATATCAGCCTTCCATAAGTTTTAGAAGAATATGGTGAGCTTTTCTACCTTAAAATGTTGCTAAGTGTTCAGAGAGGACCAATATGCTTCAAAGATATCAGGACAGTAAATGGAGTTTTATATCTAACATTCGCTGAAACATGTCTTGCAATAGGGTTAGTTGAAGCACTTGATGCTTAAGTGGAGATGATCTTGCAATTATTTATAGAGTCTACTTGGTAAAATAATAAGTAGAAAAATCGCACATATGAGTAGATCAAAACCAACAATGACAGAATCCTTGAAAAAATAGTGCTTTAAATTGAAGAAGATTATAGGAAGACAAAGAAAATGAAAAATGTTTGTTAAAAGAAAAAAAGACAGAGAAGATAAAATTTGCAGCCTGATCCGTAAATCCAAAGAAGATAACCAACTATCCACGAATTTGACCCATTTGACCCTCTAAAATAGAAAGTCAAGTTTTACAAAACTTGTTCATCGAAAAATAATTTTTGTATTTTCCAAATTTAATTATTATTTTTTAAGTTTGTCTCAAAATATAAATGAACTTTTTATTATAACAAAATGTTTAGTTAAAACTACAATATATTTTACCATTAAATTTAAAATCTTATAATTCAAAACACTAACCTTGAATTTTATAAACTACAAAAATTAAAATATCTAAAACAAATTTAAATATTGTATTTAAATAATTATATTTTTAAAATTGTTCATGTCTACACATGCGTGCAGATCAATATCCTAATAATCATTATCTACCAAGCAAAAACCAAAGATGTGTCTTATCATTTATGTTAGAGCAAACAAAAACAGACAAAAGAGTTTTTATTTTATTTTACAATTTGTTTGTCACTCCTAAATCTTCTTGCAAAGATCTAAGATAGCACATCTCCTAAAGTGACACGTCTGATAATTTCCCTTCGTCATCGATAAACATTACCTTCACTCAGTCACGTCCCCAAATAGTCAAAGCAAATAATTTTAATTTTATGACTATATATGCATTTAATTTACCACTTACCACTGATTTTGTTCTTATATTAAACCCTAGTGTTATTAGATTCAGATTTCTTTCATTTTATTTATAAATACACAGCATGAATATGAATATCCATTTTCAAATACACACTTAACTTTTGTAGATGTTAACTCAATTTTCTATATTTAAACAAATTCTGCGCAAATCATAATTACCCGTAATCCTTCGGTGGGGGGTTAGAAAATTGAAATTAGTAAAATTGAGAGCTGTCTATTTAGGATAACGAAGAGTTGATGATGAACCGACGAATTTGAAAGTTGAAACTAATTAATTTTCAGAGAAAGAGAACTAAATTAAAACAAAAAAACCACGTGCTCGTGCTCTCCTCCTCCTCGGCATCGCCGGGTTTTCCTCTTTCTCCTCCGTGAAAACTGCATTTATCAATCTTCCTTTTCTTCTCCAGATTCCAAACCCTAAATCCTCTCTCTCTCCAATTATCCCATCATTTTCCCTCATTTTCTCACTGTCTAATCCACTTTTTAAAAAATTCTCTACTGAGTCAACCAAATCTAGATCAAAGTTTGATTTTTTTTTGCTTGTTGGTTTTTTTTTTGAAAAAAAAACGTATTTGTTTATCTTCTTCGTGTTGCCTCTGTAATAGCAAATCTTCAGTTTCTCCTCCGAACAATACAATTTTTGTTCTGTTTCACCGTAATTGATGTAAATCGAATTCAAAACAGGGGAAATTTGTAATTTTTTCTGGAAAATCCCCTCTTTTTTTTTCAGTTTGCGTCTACCTTTAGAGATACAAAAGGGTTTTTCAAGGATGGGGGCGGTGACGTCATCAATGGCGGCGAAGTTTGCGTTTTTCCCGCCAAATCCGCCGTCGTACGGTGTCGAGGTCGAGACAGGAAAGCTGAGGCTGACGGGCGTTGAGAACGTGAAGGAGAACGTTGAAGTGTTGAAGCTGAAGACGAAGAGAGGGAATCAGGTGGTTGCGGCGTATATTAAAAACCCTACAGCCTCACTCACGCTTCTCTACTCCCACGGCAACGCCGCCGATCTCGGCCAGATGTTTGAGCTCTTCTCCGAGCTCAGCCTCCATCTTCGCGTCAACTTGATTGGGTAATTACTACTCTTTCTTGCTTTGGATTTATTTCTGCAATAGATCAAATAGGACATGTTTTTGAAGCTGCTCTCACGTATTAGGACAAGATTCTTGTTTTCTCGGTTAGTGTCTGCACATATTGGAGGCTGTAGATAGGTGAGATTGAGAATAAATATGTTAATGGATCTGAGTTCTTACATCAGACATATAACTGAGATTCATTGTGTAAATCTTGATTTGTTCATCTTTTGATTGTTTTGGTTATGCTGTTCCTTGTTTATGCAGGTATGATTATTCAGGTTACGGGAGGTCTTCAGGGAAGGTATGATCCATTGTGTCCAAATCACTGAAATCAACGAGTAATTTGAGTTAAGAATTCAAAATTTTCACTTTGGTTTCTCTCAAACAGCCTAGTGAGCAGAACACGTATAGCGATATAGAAGCAGTGTATAGATGCTTGGAGGAGCAGTATGGTGTGAAGGAACAAGATGTTATCTTATACGGACAATCCGTAGGAAGCGGTCCGACTTTAGAATTGGCTTCTCGTTTACCAAACCTCAGAGCCGTTGTTCTTCACAGTGCAATCGCATCCGGTCTAAGAGTCATGTACCCTGTGAAGCGAACTTACTGGTTCGACATTTACAAGGTTTCCTTATAAACATTTCATCAACATTACATTCTCTTTATCCCGGATACAAAACATTACTCGCGTTCTAATTTGTTTTTTTTTTTGTGGTTGCAGAACATCGACAAGATATCTTTTGTCAAATGTCCGGTTTTGGTAATTCACGTGCGTATCATCTTGTATCCATTTTCGAGTTTTTCTCTTTTTTTTCAAAGTCATTATGTTATTGATCCGAGGCTTAACGGGTGTGTGCAGGGAACATCAGATGATGTAGTTAATTGGTCTCATGGGAAGCAGTTGTTTGATCTTTGTAAAGAAAAATATGAACCACTTTGGATCAAAGGAGGAAACCACTGCGATTTAGAGCTTTACCCTCAATACATAAAGCATCTAAAGAAGTTTGTATCTGCGATCGAGAAATCTCCTCATCTTAGAAGCGGAACTGTGCTGCAAATAGAGAAGGCGAGGAGCAGTACTGATGTTAGAGAACCTGCAAGGCCAAGCACAGATCAAAGAGATAAATCAAGAACAAGCACGGATCAAAGAGAGTTGCCGAAGCTGAGTATAGAGAATAAGGATAAATCGAGAGCGAGCGTTGATAAGAGAGAACGAACGAGAAAAAGCGTCGATGGGGCTGAAAAACAGAGTTATGCCATGGAACAGCAGATACAACCAGAGAAAGGGAGGAATAGTATTGACAGGTAGAAAACTCATTTCTCTCAAATTTGTATGAACTGATGATGATGATGATGATTGTTTGATGGCAGGTTTGGGGAGATGATAAGATCAGTAGGTTTCTGCAACATTGATTGTTTCAAGCCTACAGCAACAGCTAAGTGAATTGGTAGAAGGAACATGAACACCCAGACACTCTCACACATGCCTCCGAAGCATCTAATTTTAATTGTTTTGAATTTGGTTTGTTGTCTCTTTGCACTTGCGTCCTCTTGTGTTTTGGAATCTCAACAAGTCACACGTCGATGTTTGAGTACTGCCTGGATTGAAAATAGCTTGATTTGGTTGTTATAAACTATGATATAAAGGAAAAGGATTAGAATATGGTTACACCAAATATGTATATCTTCATTACATTTTGTATACATAGTTTCTACAAACAACACTCATGGTGGTACAAAACCAGAATCAAGCAAAAGTCCGCTAAAGAAACACTCAACGATAATGAGACAAGCACATATAGAAGAGAAGTCTTGTCTTCTTAATTATTTTTCATTTCACATAAGAAGAGAAGCTGACAAAGAAACAAAACGCTTTTGTTTCCTTCATCCACAACACACCAAACTGCATCAATGATCACGCACGAGGTGCGCTCTTCTTGAATAACGCATAAGCATCACTGTAAATGGCAATTGCATTGGATAATACCGCAAGAACAATCATGAAAATGGCTAAGGTCGTGTCCCTGCCCGTCGCTTTGCTATGACGATCCCTGCAAGAACATAACAAAAATCGAAATAAACTACCAAATCTGCTTAACTAAGAGACAGATAGATAAAGATCGTGTACTTACTTTAGGATAATGGAAGCTGGGAAAATGAAGCCGAGACAAACAGCAGCAGTTGCTCCAGTGAATTGGAACGCATCCCAAATGCTCGGGATGAAGTTTGCACCCAAGAAGATTACAGAGATGAGACCCACAGTGAGGCAACCGAACCTTACGTTTGAGGTAGTTAGCGACCGAGCAGAAGGGAACAAGAGCCCGTCAATGTTAATCCGCAACGGGTAGAAAACAATAGGGAACACGAGCATCAGATGAAGCGCGTAGCTAACTCGAACCGCGTCGTTTAGGACAGAGCCAAGAGGGATTCCGAGGTCGGTGTCGAAGTTTGCAAGGACATCATCAAGAGTATCGTCACCAAACAAGAGGAACCCGAAAATGCTTGTCATTATGTAAACAGATGAGCAGAGCACAAGAGCTGATCGGACAACGGGTCTTATCTGAGAGGCGTCTTCGAGCTCGTTCTGTATGCTGTGAACTGATGAAACAAATCATAGCAAAACCAACAACATGAGTTTTCTTCTTCTTGTTCATTCATCAAAGCTATGCTTCCATTTAAAGGAACTGAGGACATACCATTGTAATGGCAAATGAATGCAGTGACAAGAACGGGTACAACTGTGAAGAGATTCCAGAATGATGTTAAGTCGGTAACATCTGGTAGCAATCTTGGCATCGCCACACCACCACTGATCAGTTTCATGATAGAAATTCCCGCTGTGATGATGAGAAACACAACCGCGAGAGCCACTGATAAAGCAGACGTAAACTTCAAAGAATCTGCAAAGAAAGCAACAATCACATGTCAGAACCAATTAAAAAGTACAACCACACTTAAAGATTCAGAGTCACTATATCTCTAGGATAATTTCTAAACATGAATGAGCCAGACAACATTATTATCTCCAGCTATTCTAGTTGTGCATCAGATACTAACCAATTCGCTTGAAGCAAGCCAATGGAGCAAACACGCCAAGAGTTGTAATGAGAAGAATAGCAGCTCTTCCGTTCCACCAATGGTGACCGAACCAACCTTCAAGAACACCATAATGGTGGATTCCATCTTCTGTCTTTCCAGCCAACACATCACCTTTATCAACAACAACAACAAAACACACAACCAGAGAAGAGTGAGATTCAACGAAAGCAGCAGCAAAAGGATTAGACTTTACATAGACGAGGAGATGACAACGATACCAATGATGATCATGTAGACGATCAAAACACCGATGTTGTTGACTAGAACAGCGACTTGAAGCAAAATCTTTCCAGGGCTGCCAAAAGAGTCACCCATTAAGCCACCATATGATCGGCTTTTCTTATATTTACTAAACCTAAGCAAGAACTCAATCGATGCATCGGTCAAGAAAGCCATAACAACAATCATAGAGATTCCGAGTACAAGTCCCAGGATCTTCATCGTTGCAGGCAGAGCCATGATTCCAGCACCGATTATAGTTGTCGCGAGATTGAAAACCGCGCCACTGAACGAAGCTCCATTGAATTCATCGTAAGCAACTTCGTCCCCCGCAGTTTCCGGCAATAACGGAGCAGCGACATCATTGGAGGAGGAACAGCTCCTCCTTGGGATCGGAGTAACATCTTCAATCGTCATCTTCCGATTGCAAGCTGTCAAATTTGATTATAGAAAAATCTTAGGCATCATACAAAGTCAACTTTCTTATAAATCATTGAACGCCGAGACGAACCTTAAAGAGAATTTGACAAAAACTTTCTCAATACTGAGCAGAGACGAGCTTCGATTCAACTGCTTACACAAGTAGGAATCAAAAGCCCTAAAATTGACCGAAACCCAGTTGATTTTGATCGAAAATGGTTTAACCCAGGAAACAAAATTGGCGGTAGAATCAGAGATATACAAAGAAGAAATTAGCGAATCCGGAAACAGTGAGGAGGTAGGAGAACAGATTTATTTCCAAAGAAGAATTATTGAGGAGGATGAAACTGGAGATGTGAGGGAAATTATAGCCTCACGATTTTTGTCTAGCTGACAATGAAGGTTATGTATCTGTACGAAACTCTAACCTTTATAGAGAAACTAAAAAATAATGGATTTTGTTTGCTATTGGATATAAGGTAACGTGATTAGCCAAAATTGTGTCATTAAATTATCAAAATTCACTGTACTTATGATGATGACGACTCAATTGACCTTAGGTGGTGCTGATTGTATTCCAAAGAGAATCGACGCAGCGTTTTTAGGATCACTGAATCAAGTATTTGTTGGATTAGTTTTTTGTTCGAATATTTATGGAAATTTATATATGTAGAAATTTATATAAGAAATATCAAACTAGGAGTATCTCCATTAATTGCTTAAAGAGAGTATCCAATCTATATTATATTAATATCCTTTAATTATATAATTTAAATTTAAATTTAAAAATGTGAATCAATGAAATAATAACACATGAATCTCTTGTTTGGGAGACGTATGAGATTCGTACAAAAATAAAAGTTACATACTTATTATTAGATAGTTTCCTTGTGAGAGGAAGCGACATGCGATGGAGAGTCACACGATGGATATGAGATCAAATAAACATTGTCTACATGTTTGCACTTTGCAGTTTTGTTAACGTTTTGTTTAGAGTATATGTTAAGTTTCTGATTTCCTTATTAGTGTACTTTTTAGTCTTGTACCTCGTTCAAACGATAAATAACAAAACACATAGATTATACCACTTTGTTTCGTGGTATGTCCAAAAACAAACTTGTATTGAATCTATTAAAGATAAACATTAATACTGCCTCACTTCCGTAGTATTATTATGACCAGTCACGAACAGAAGAAGAAGTAATCAGGGAGATACAACTTCATTCATTATTTTATTTCAAAATAATATACGTGGTCAGGAAAAACTGATGATAGGAACAAACTCCTAATTAACTATATAAATGCCCTCGCACTCTTATAAATATTTAACATACCTAGACTTGGATGATAGTTAGTCATCTACTTACTATAATCACTAAATATTAGTACCAAGTTTTGGCTTTTAGTGGTAATCAAAGCGTCAAATGTTTAATCAATCTATATTAAAGTATGAATTCAATTAATCATCATGAGTCATCCTCATGGCCCTTTTTAAATTGTATACCCAGTCAGATATATATCGACAGTTAGGCAAACCAGAGCCAGATATTAATATATCGAAAGTAATAAGGTTCATGTCTTGCGTTGCATGATGTATTCATATTTCATAACTTAAATATATATTACTTGAACGGGTTTCCACGTCCAGACTTTAAAGTTTACAATCGAATATTCAAATGTCTTACTAGCAAAACGTTCTCAAATGGCAGTGTTTAAGAGAACAAATATACCATCCCAAGAGGCAAGAGCAATGGCATTCAAGTTCAAGCGATATAGCAAACGCAATAACAAGAAATGAATTCGAGTGAATGTAATCACTAAGGACATGTAATAACATCTTAAGCCAAAGCCAAATAAAATGGTTATTGTATTATATTCTTGGTCATTAAAGTCGATGATAAACTTTTATTGGGTGTACACACAGGTTTCATTGCACGAGAGTTCAGTTTTTAAATGAAATTTTGGTTTGTTCAAACTCGCTAGTCTTTCATCATATCATAACGTCATAGTGAAAAATACAAATATGTTAGCTAAGTGGATTTCGGTACATGTATTTGAGTATACAATTATATATATATATATATATATATATATATATCCTGGTCTAAATTATACACTTCGCTCTTGAATAAAATATAGAGTACAATGACAAAATGAAAAATTAAAGGAAGCTAGCACATCTTCATAACAACAAAACAGCAAGAAATGTTTGGTACACTAAATTTTGCTGTTTGTTATGCCGAATGTTGTTTTGTTGTTATGAAGATGTTTGGTACACTAATTTTGTTTGGTACGTTCGCTGGATAAATTTACTATTTGGTAGATATTCCAGCCTGTGGGAACAATCAGGGTTCGATACCCAGCAACGGCTATTAATATTTTTTTAAAAATGATTTTTCCACATGTCTTGCGATTCAATCAGACATTCGGTGATATATGACGTGGCAACAAATCTGATTGAATCGCAAGACATGTGTTGCAAATGTTGTCCTTATGGATGGATCATACGAAACCATCCGAAATACACGTGTCAGAATCTCAGCGGAACATTAAAAAAGCCAATTATGTTCACATTCTCGTACTATCAATCTTCACAACCACGGGATTTCAAGAAATCAATGGCGGAGTCCGAGTTTCATCTTCCTTCCGAGATAGAGAACGAAACCGATCAGATTCCGGTCGAAGGTTTCGAAGAAGATGCTACTTACATCGACGACGAGTACCTCAACTACCTCCACTATTTGGCTTCACGGAGCAACCATGGAATCAACACGTTTGGGTCTTACGATGAAATCTTTGGTCGAGTGTTAGGCAATTCATCTTCCACGCGGCGGCATGAAGGGGCGGAGAAACTTCCTGTGGTTGAATTGACGGCTGAGGAACTGATGGAGAGAGATCTGGTGGTTTGCGCCATCTGTAGAGAGGAGCTAGCTGCGAATGAGAGGCTCTCTGAGCTTCCTTGTCGACATTATTACCATAAAGACTGTATCTCGAACTGGCTGACTAATCGGAACACTTGTCCGCTTTGCCGTCACAATGTTAGAAACTAGTTTAGTTTTATTGAATTTTTTAATGTTGAAGTTGATAAAAGTCTTCTTTCTCTACGTCTGAATATATTGGAAGAAAATTTGAGTGAATCAGCTTAATCTATCTCTATCGTAAAAGGTGTTGTTTATACTTTATACTGATTTTTCTTGTTATTGAGTTTTAACCTGATTAATCCAAAAAAATAGAAGGCAATAAGGAAGTTTTACAAGCTTGAAAGTGGATGCAATCCGTGTTATTTGGGCTAAAAAAAGATATGGCAAACTCTTGTTTGTTTGGGCTTTGCTAAAATTATTCTTCTAAATGGACTGCAGGTGATCCTTGTTTTTCTTACAACCAAATGATCCATTAGTTTATGTTAAAGATACATAGTTATATATCAAAGTACTAGTTTTTCAACTTTGATGTCTAAACAATTGTACGTGGAGTATGTAAGACTTTTTTTTGTCAACATATGTAACACTTTTATAAGTGCATTATAAACCGAAAACAATATGGGTTACTGAACTGATAGATGATGCTGAGGAAAGCAACAACAAAAATAAAAATAAAAATAAAAAACTTACGAAATGTATGAGAAATTATGTAAAAGTAAAAAAAAAAAATGTATGAGATCATGGTTTATATATCATGATAAAAAATTTGGGGTGTGTAGGGTTGTGGATATGTGCCTCTCCCTAGCCACCCACCCTATATAATTTGGCCTTATCCTCGCCCAAAATCATACTTTGAATGATTTTGCCCCCTTCACACATGTCGTATTTAACCCCAGTTCCTTTATCTATTAATTATTATTATTGATTTTTTTTTTGTGAGGCTCTTTTATCAATTTGCTACAAATGAGTTTGGAATCTAGATTTTGTATAATAAACCTCATCTTTTTTTCTAAATTAGTTTTGTTAATGAAACTAGAGTTGCCAATCACATGTTTTCTCATCGTTGTTGTCGTTACCAACATTTGAAGATCACCATGCTTTGTTAAGACCGTCTTTGGGAAGATGTATAACGTGTTATAAAACGAAGAAAGAGACGCAGGCTAAGGGAGATAAAATAGTAGAAAACGACAAGATGTTAAGCGTGTGTCCATTCGTCAGGGTACAAGATCTAAGAGCATATATTATCTTTGATTATAACATTGTTTTATGTCATATAGACTCAAGATCACGATGTTACTTTCATATATATATTTCAATCCAATCCAAGCCTTTTATGTCTTGGATTTTTAGATATTCAAATCTTTGGAATAGAAATACGTTAGTTTCCTCTCTTGTTACTCAACTTATTGATTTCATTTCATATCAATTCTGATATGTTAGCATCTTTTATTGGCAGAAGATCTGTGCGTCTTGATTACACGCTTTTCATTGGGCCAAAGAGCCGTGCTTCATTTCTTGGGAAAGAGTATACGTCGTTTTGTAGTGAATACTAGATTTTTGTGCGATGATAAAGGTTATAGCCTGAGGCAGAAAACCGCCGTTGACACGGTTCACTTAAACTTTTTACACGGTGGTTTTAAACGTTTTTCACCGTCGACAAAGACTGTATAAGTCAACCAAAACATCAACACGGTAGCGCGCATCATAAACTACCGCATCCCAAAACATAACAAAAAACCAATGGCATAGTTTGTTATTGTTCATTTGTTATTTCCATCAAAGCACTAGAGGCGCAATAATGTCAAAAAATCAGTTTTGTAATTAGTAAAACAATTGTGGCAACAAAACCACCGTGTAAAAAGTTGATTTTTTTCTTTTTTTCCTCAGTATTGATATACAATCAAACTAGTCAAAATAACTCGTTATGGACGAGGGCTACGAGATAAAAAGTAGATACTGTATCATTTATATATATATATATGTGATCTGCTACGTTTATTTTAGATAGATAACATTTTATATATATATATATATTGTATATATATCTACGTACAATAATTAGTGTTTAGAAATCTACTGAAATTTGGATATTAGGCAAAATATCTGATCCACTCATAAATATTATTAAAGGATAACGTTTATGTGATAAATTTATATCTAGAAAGAATCGTATAACGTTTTAGATTTTAGTATTTATCGGATCTTGTTTGCTCTCAAAACTGAATGGAGTATTAGAGATGTTTTTCCCAGCCATATTATGTACTGAGTCTGTATGTTTATCCTAGCGACCAGAATAATTCAACCAACAGTTACTCAACACGAGTAAAAACTGTGGTATCGGTAAAGACAATTGGCATTTACACACGTGTCGAAATATGATTAAAGTGTTGCTATTTACTTATGAATCCGTTGATTTAGTTTGGACCCATAACCCATTATCATCGCATGATTCCATAAGTAGTTAACGAAAATTGAGTTCATTAGTTCTCAATCTTTCCAAAGTAAGAATCTCAGCTTGTTTTTCAACTCCAACTTAGTATCGACTTCAAATTTGCATACTTATGTGTGTTCCTATAATGTATATGTACTTTTAGCTGAACTTAATGACGAACAATACGACACAAAATACAACCGCTTTGTAAATGTTGGAAATCTATCCCTAAAAATATATGATCAACTAAATATTTATGTATAAATAATGCTCATTTCTTATTTACCCCATTACGCTAACAATAATATCTATAAATTTAGAAAAACTAGAAATGTAATTTTTATGTTTTGGAGTATTAAAGATTCCTATGGCTGGTTTCTTAGTGCTACATTTGTTATTGGAAGACAAGTTAAATCCAAGTACTCTTTCCGTGCAAAAACCAGAGCCGTTATTTTAGGGGTGTGTTCTTTCATTCTTTGTCACCATGTTGATGTTCCCAATTTGCCCTTACCTTTTGCGTATGGGGATATGATGTACAAGAAAATCTGTTTTGACATTCAAGGGCATTATTGGAATATTTCATGGAAACAGTATAAGAAAATTTATGTGAACGATTGAATTTTTAATCAATCATTGCTTTTCATTTCGAATTCCTCCCAATGAAAAAATAAAAAATAATATCCAAGAGGCAAAGAGCATTTTCAGACGATTCACAGAAAGATACTTGAAAATGCTCATACTACGACTTTACTACAACAACAAAAAAATGAGCTATTGATTCCGTAACGGATCTTAACCTTTACCGATTACTAATTTATATATCGAGACAAAATATATTGTAAATGTATATGAATATGACAAGAAAAAGAAAG